ACGAAGCACATGAATTCCTTCATATTCCAGTGGACGACCGTCAAAAGAGACAGAGACAAATTGAGAGTAGAGTCCTTCAAGAGGAGTGTTACGTTTGAGTAGATAAAGATCCTCATTTGCATTGTTGGTAAACTCAAAAGAGCAAGCAACTGCAGAAAGAGCTTTATCACAAGCCATGTCAAGAGAGACTGGCCAGCCATTAGCACTGCATGTACAAGAGAAAAGTAACATTGATTTGATAGTGTAGTAACATACCTGAGAGCACAGGTCAGGTAAGTAACCAGACAGAAGAGTGAGAGTAGAGTCTTCATGATTCCTTTCCTTGATAGAGAGTATTCCTTCTTGTTGTGAGATGATTTCTTGTTTTAGTGAGAAGTGATTGACTGCTGCTGGTCACCTCCTTATATACTATTAGGTACCTCATCAATATTTATCAGTAACTAAGTCCTGCACTGATGGATTTCCTACAAAATCTATCATTCATTAGTTAAACTGTCATTGGACAGCAGTGAATAGAACATACTACCAAACACATGAAATGACTATTGAGATGTATGGTTGATAGATTATGAGGAAATGTATACATTTTTAATGCTAGTATATGATCGATTCTAAACAGTATAGGATAGGTAATGGCTCCATCAGGCTATGAAAGTTAGTGTCGTTCTCCTTGTGAGCAAGAATGACACATCTTGCAACAAATATTGTGAGAGAATAACTTATTCATTAGTGTAGTCTATTGACTGCTCCACAGGGTTCACTGTTAGTTTAATCATTAGTCTAAGTATAATGTATTGTAAACTGAAACTGTTATTTGATTTACTTTACCATGCATGCTTATTGTTCAGGGTATAACATTTTGCTTTAAATTTATTTTGGAAACTGTTGCTACATGTATATACCTCATTTCTCAGTGTGACTATATGCATGTGTTACACACTGTATAGTGGGTAGTTTTCCGTTGGTTGAAAATATCAAATCAGGTGTAGGGTCTATGATCAAATGAACCAGAAATGACTTTAGAATAGACTCGAAACAGTTGATCTGATGTCTTCATTAGCATCTGCAGGACTGATAGCATCATAAAGAGGTCCTCTGGTCCTGTAGGGTCTGGACCAAAGAGATTTATTAGTAGGCAAATGCCATTTTTGAGGCCATTTTGTCGTGTGCTAATTATGATTATCTGATTCTTATTAATTTATCATGGTCACGCCTCTCTTCAGAATTAATTTTTATTAAGACTTTTAGAATTAATAGCAATGAAACAGAAAAAATAAGCACTAGTCAAAACTTATCCACTATACAGTGCATATTGGATTTAGTGTTTGTACTGTCGTTGTTATAGACAGAGTTCAATTGTTACTGTATGATTGTAAATTATACTTCATTGCATTGTTTTGTCTCCTCTGTATGATATTCATACATCATTGGTCATAGTTTCCAGTGAGTCAGGACTATACTTTTGATAAGTGCATGCTTCCTGCTGCTGCTACCAATGGTTGAGAAATTTTAAATTGAAATTATTATTATTATACTAAAGCCAAGAATAATTAATTTATCAAAAATGTATTATTATAGTTAAACAAAGGAAAGCAGCAAAAATAAACTGTGCATGTCCTATAGTGTTGCATGAGTCCTAAAGTTCTTGGCTTTTAGCTGATGAGCTCCATTACTGAGCATCACAATAGTGATACAGGTAACTGTCAGCATTCCTAGCAGCATCATCTGGCTTATCCTTTGCTAGCTGCTTGCAATTGGCCCGACCATAAACAACATCATCAATTTTACCGTAAGTATGAGACCATTCGTGAAGCAGTGTACCTTCCTTGCTCTCACCAGTCTTGCTGCAATTGGTCGGATCCCTGTAATAAATGGTACAGAGGTACACAGTGGTACCAGTCTTGTATGTGTAGGCATAAGTATTGGATCTGCAGAGTGGACCATTATTATAGTAAATGCAATTTTGGCTTGATAAACCATCTCTTATTTTCTGGTAAATACCTTTAATTTTAGTGATCCTTGAAGAATCATCAGCACCGAACCATGTAGTAGATATGCTAGTGTTACCAACTTTACCTTTAGCTTTATCTATCCCACCACAGAGCTTCTTATGAGCAGTCAAGGTTGCACTGTTCTGAACATCGCCATTTTTAAAAGTAGCACTGCCACAGTCTTGGAGGTGGACTGTGTAATCGATTCCTGCATCACCTTCCTCCTTTGGTTTTAAGAGAAGAGAGGCGTCTTCCAAATGAATGTGAACAGATTCACGTACAAACGATTCCCTGAGCTTACCAGTAGGCATTGCACTCATCTCATTCACTGACAGATACTGTAAAGGTCTACTGTATTGTACAGTGTAGAGACCATCAGTATCAATGCTAAAGGCATCAGTGATTTGGACTGAGGCAGAAACACTCTCACCTGCCTTCAAGAGAACAAACTCATCCTTTGTAGGAGGGAGACTATACATGATGATTCCTTCATATTGTAATGGATGACCATCAAGAGAGACAGAGACAAATTGAGATCTGAGTCCTTCAAGAGGAGTGTTACGTTTGAGTAGATAAAGATCCTCATTTGCATTGTTGGTAAACTCAAAAGAGCAAGCAACTGCAGAAAGAGCTTTATTACAAGCCATGTCAAGAGAGACTGGCCAGCCATTAGCACTGCATGTACAAGAGAAAAGTAACATTGATTTGATAGTGTAGTAACATACCTGAGAGCACAGGTCAAGTAAGTAACCAGACAGAAGAGTGAGAGTAGAGTCTTCATGATTCCTTTCCTTGATAGAGAGTATTTCTTCTTCTTGTGAGATGATTTCTTGTTGTAGTGAAGAGTGATTCAATGCTGCTGGTCACCTCTTAATATACATGTACTATTAGGTACCTCATCAATATTTATCAGTAACTGACTGCTGTACTGATGGATTTCCTACAAAATCTATCATTCATTAGTAAAACTGTCATTGGACAACAGTGAATAGAACATACTACTAAACACATAAAATGACTATTGGAATTTGGGATGTATGGTTGATAGATTATGAGGAAATGTATACGTTTTTAATGCTAGTATATGATCAATTCTAAACAGTTTAGGATAGGCTATGACTCCAGGCTATGAAAATTAGTGTCGTTTTCCTTGTGATCAAGAATGACACATCTTGCAGCAAATATTGTGAGAGAATGATGCATTCGTTAATGATTGACTGCTCCACAGGGTTCACTGTTAGTTTAATCATTTGTCTCGATATAATTTATTGTAAGCTGACATTGTTATTTGATTTACTTTACCATGGTTGAGAAAATTTAAATTGAAATTATTATTATTATTGTATTAAAGCCAAGAATAATTAGTTAATCAACAATGTAATATTACAGTTAAGCAAAAATAAACTGTGCATGTCCTATAGTGTTGCATGAGTCCTAAAGTTCTTGGCTTTTAGCTGATGAGCTCCTTACTCAGCATCACAATAGTGAAAGGCGTAATTATCAGCATTTTCTATTGCTTTACCAGGATCATTTTTAGCCAAATTCTTGCAGTTGGAACGACCATAAGCATTATCATTAGTATCGGCAAAAATATGAGACCATTCATGAACCAGTGTGTCTTCCTTGCTATAAGCAGTCTTACTGCAAAGTGTTTGCGATTGGTAGTACTGGTTACAAAGATAGACGGTATCTTTAATATGTTTAAATACATAGGCAAACGTGTTACTTTTACATCTATCACCATTGTTGTAGTATTTTGCAGCAGTGTTAGTCAGTCCAGTTTTCATATCTGAATATGCTTTTTTAACCGTAGCTGTCCTTCCAGCATCATATGCACCAAACCATGTAGTAGATATAGTAAAATTTTTGCCAACTTTACCTTTAGCTCTATCGAATCCAGAGCAGAGCTTCTTATGAGCCTCCAGTGTTTGACTGTTCTGTTTATCACCATTAGAGAAACTAGCACTGCTACAGGATTCAAGGTGGACAGTGTAATCGATTTTTACTTCTTCTATTTTTGGTTTCATAAGAACAGAAGTTACAGAAGTTTCTTCCAAGTAAAGTTGAGCGAATTTATGTATGAACGATTCCCTGAGCTGATTAATAGACATTGCACTCATCTCATCCACTGACAGATACTGTAAAGGTCTACTGTATTGTACAGTGTAGAGACCATCAGTATCAATGCTAAAGGCATCAGTGATTTGGACTGTTGCAGAAATACTCTCACCTGCCTTCAAGAGAACAAACTCATCCTTTGTAGGAGGAAGGCTATACATGATGATGCCTTCATATTCCAGTGGATGACCATCAAGAGAGACAGAGACAAATTGAGAGTTGAGTCCTTCAAGAGGAGTGTTACGTTTGAGTAGATAAAGATCTTCATTTGCATTGTTGGTAAACTCAAAAGAGCAAGCAACTGCAGAAAGAGCTTTATTACAAGCCATGTCAAGAGAGAATGGCCAGCCATTAGCACTGCATGTACAAGAGAAAAGTAACATTGATTTGATACTGTAGTAACATACCTGAGAGCACAGGTCAGGTAAGTAACCAGACAGAAGAGTGAGAGTAGAGTCTTCATGATTCCTTTCCTTGATAGAGAGTATTCCTTCTTCTTGTGAGATGATTTCTTGTTTTAGTGAGAAGCGATTGACTTCTGCTGGTCACCTCCTTATATACTATTAGGTAGCCACTTAAAATATGTTAAATAGGTTGACTAATTAACACTAATGACCTATTCAGTAAACTATTCACCTATTGTGTCTGGCAACTTGTGAATAGATAGATTAGCTCTTGATTAGATACATGTAGTTTTCACACTATACGCACACCTATTGATGTCATTACATGAATGCAGAGATGCAGTATTAAATAAACAGTTTTTATAATGCATTTTTACATTTTTTTGATGAATAATCCATAAAACTTAAAATGCATTAAGTAGGTAGATTCATTAAGACTGATGACCTATTCAGTAAACTCTTCACCTATTGGAGTGTCTGGCAACTAGTGGATTTCTTACAAAATCTATCATTCATTGGATTACAGTAAATAGACTAGTGTTTGAAAACATGAAGTGGCTATACATGATGTACAGTTATGATAAAATATATTTTATTACATTGTTGATAACTTGGACAGACATTAGAATACAATGAATAGGTGAATACCTATTCATGCAGCTGTCAAAGTGTCTGTCTGTCTACTTTATTTGTTACTATTGAAATTTAGAGTTCCTATAGCATACATTATATTCCTTTAACTGCTCATCCACATTTTAGAAATTATAATAAAGCTTGTCATGGACATTTTGTATACAGAAGCAGCCTCTGCAGCAATAACTGTAACCAGTACTGCTTGACTTGCTGTTACATAGTTGACTGCATTTGTACTTGTATAAATAAACTGCCTGATATAGCAATATAGTCCATGTTGTTTATGTCCAATGTATGTGATCTCTGACAATGTATTGGTGATGCTTTTGGAGCAATTTTCTGCACATGGTACATGCTTGTACTTATATAAACGAAACTGTCCACACTAGCTCCAGTCCACTGCACTGAGCCAAGAGTAGATAATAATTAGAGGAGAGTGTCCTACTGTGCAATACCCCCTTGCTTCATGATGATGATAACTTTTGAATTTGATTTTAATTTCTCTTCCCAGGTGCCATTTGCTCGTTACTTGGCTATGAATAAGATTAAACAAATGAAGAGATATCATATTGCCCAGGTGTATAGGAGGGACCAGCCGGCAATGACCAAAGGAAGATACAGGGAATTTTATCAATGTGTATGTTAGTGGGTGGGGCCAGCTAGATTGTGGGTGTGACTGTCAATTCTTCTATGATACATGAATGCATTTCTTTAATTATTTTTTTATTGTTAGGATTTTGATATTGCTGGTGAGTATGATCCAATGATTCCTGATTCAGAATGTCTGAAGATAATGACTGAGATATTAACAGAATTGAAATTGGGAGCTTTTAAAATAAAAGTTAGCAATCAAATTGTGCTATTACAATAGATTCTGTGTATGTTATCATCATCAGTCATTGTAGATTACTATTATTGTTATTATTATTATTAACATTATTATTATTATTATTTATTTATTGTTAGATAAATCATAGGAAGATATTGGATGGCATGTTTGCTGCCTGTGGCGTTCCTAGTGATAAATTCAAACCAATCTGTTCTGCTGTTGACAAACTGGACAAGGTACAATTGAATAAAGCTATAGTAATTTTGAATGGGTAAAAGTATAAATTTTTGATCATTGATCACTTAAATTTTGGACTTAGCATAAGGACATTAATCATTTCATATTTATTTGTTTATTTATTATTTATGTATTTTTAGACCCCGTGGGAAGAGGTTCATTCTGAAATGACGAAAGAAAAAGGTCTGCCTATTGAAGTGGCTGATAGGATTGGTGAATATGTGAAGCTGCACGGGGGCAAGGAACTAGTGGACAGCTTAGAGGGAGACAGTCTGCTCTGTGGTCAGCCATCTTTTAGAGCAGGGCTGGGTGACTTGAAACTATTAATGGATTACTGTGATACAATGGGGATTTTAGATAAAGTAAGGATGAATTAGAGATCGAGGTACAACTACAATTGTTCATGTGTAACTGAAGCTGTAATTGAGAGACTAAATATAATTACTTGTGCTTTTTTAAGAGATCCAGCCTGGTTTAAAGCAGGCCAGAACTGATTTTGATTTGATAATGTAAATGGTGACCAAACCAAGCTACAGTGATTTGGGCCAGCTCGGGCTTGTACAGGTGGGCCAGCTCAGTTTAGTTGGGTGTGGTTTGGCTCACTACTGTAGTGTCAATGTAGTATTAATAGTATAGTAGCTATACTAACAGCAATTTTATTATTATTATTATTATTATTATTATTATTATAAAATTTATTATTATAACAAGAAATATAACAGAATAAGGTGGACAAGAAAATTATTATTGTTATTGTTATCATTAATCTTTTAATTTAGTTATCATTTGATCTAAGTCTTGCCAGAGGTCTTGACTATTACACTGGAGTCATTTACGAGGCAGTACTGATAGGTATAGTATGTGACATGCATATACATGTACTTATGCTGTGTAGACACTTTAAACTGATTCCGATCAAAATTGGATTTTTTACGAATTTTTAAAGTTGCTCAAAAATCGGACAAAAGTCCCTGTACTATAGTACAGGGCTCTGGCCAAATTTTTCCAAAAATGTAAAGTTGAGAATTCTCCATTTTTATTACATTTTCTGATGCATATACATGTACTTATGTTGTGTAGAAAGTTTGAACTAATTCCGATCAAAATTGGATTTTTTACGAATTTTTAAAGTTGCTCAAAAATCGGACAAAAGTCCCTGTACTATAGTACAGGGCTCTGGCCAAATTTTTCCAAAAATGTAAAGTTGAGAATTCTCCATTTTTATTACATTTTCTGATGCATATACATGTACTTATGTTGTGTAGAAAGTTTGAGCTGATTCCGATCACAATTGGATTTTTTACAAATTTTTAAAGTAGGTAAAAAAATCTAACAAAAGTCCCTGTCTTCAGTACAGGATCTCAGTCCAAATTTTGCCAAAAATGAAAGGAGAAAATTTTCCATTTTAAAAACTTTTTAATTACGTATACATGTACATGTAATTGTGCTGATTTCACTCAAAATTGGATTTTTCAGAGTCTCTTCGAAAGTTTAAATTTTATTATTATACTTGTGCATGGATTATTTTCGTATTATTTATAACTCCACCCATTAACTCCGCCCCATTTAGACGATCCTTCCGTTGATCCTAAATCAAAGGATACTCCATCAGTTGGTTCCATATCTGGCGGTGGTCGCTATGATGACCTAGTAGGAATGTTTGACAGTAAAGGAAGAAAGGTGCCATTATGCTAGTGCAATGTAGTCATGTACATTTTGTGAATAAAAGGAATAATTATAATTTAACACATAAACATTATAAATTTTTGTCTTCTCTGTATTTTTAAAGCAAAGCTATTAGTTGTGCTTTTGATGTTAATTAATTAATTACTGTTTCTCCCTGCATGACCAGGTCCCTTGTATTGGATTCAGTATTGGAGTAGAGAGTATATTCTCAATT